ACCACACTCACACATATGTACCACACCACACAAACACACGCACACACACACCCCACACCCCACACACACACTTGCCCGGGCACAGTGCTCTGTAGCAGAATCCCATGATGAGAATCTCAGAGGCTCTGAGGGAAGCAGCTTCCTCCTCCCTGTCTTTCCCGGGCTGAGATCCGTTCCGCCTCATACCCTACCTCACACACACGAGCTCGGGGAGGCCGCGAGTCCACTGGCATCGTCAGTCTCCACCCCAGAAAGGTGATTTCCAGAGTGGTTTCCTGAAGTCTCAGCCGCCAACCGCCAAAGTCCACCGCCTGCCGGTTTCTCAAGGGCGTCTCACTCCTTCCACGACCGTCCTTGTGCTCTGCGGGTCTCCTCCATGTTGGGATCTGGGCGTCTGGCTACGTTTGAGTAAACAACAGCCTATTTCAAGCGCCTCACAAATATCTGAGCGTCTTTTACCTGAAATCTACTCTCTGGTACTATTTTAAAAACCAGTTAAGATTCTTTTGTTTTATCACACAAGAGTGATTATCAAATTAGTCACTGCTGGTGACTTTGGATCAAATCCTTCCTTGAGACTTCGAAGCCCCTGCTGTCATATATTTACTGGTTATTCTCCTTTGAAGAAAAGGTTGGAGGGAAAAAACCACTAAATACTCCTGGGTACTTTACATCATGGTCTATTGTGTACTTTTACCAACAACATTACTTTCTCCTTATAAATATATAGAGCAAAAAATGTCCTGAAATTACCCTTTGAAAGACCTAGTTTCAGGAATTCAGGGGAACCTTTTTGTAGTCTTTTTTTTAAAGAAATTTATTTATTTATTTTTAAAGGTGTATTTATTTATTCATACAAGCACTGGGTACAGTCAGAAGCGTGGGAGGGTGAGAGAATTCACCAGAGCCAGAGTGGGGAGCAGAACAGGCAGACTGACGAAATACACTGCTGAGGGAAGCAGCGGGCGTCAGGAGAGGTCTGCGCGCCATGTGGGACCCTCGCCCGGTGGCAGGGGATTGAGCAGGCGCTGCAGAGGCTGTGGGCAGCTTCACAACCCAGCGCTCAACCGCTGCGCCACCGGGGAGGCCCCCTTTTTGCAGTCTTATAAAAGGACAGGAAGAGCCTTGGAAAATAAGCAACCATCAACTAATTAATGAAATTTAATGAAATTACGATGCGATGTCACCTCTGTCATTTCCCTGCTTCAGGAAAGTTTATAAATAAAATGGAAGTAACCACCATCTCAGAAGCAGTTTACTTGCTTATGAATAAAAATCCTGGGGCTCACTATACCCAAAATTTGGAGTTAGATATGATTCAGATTTTTGAAAGATTCTCTTTCACAGGCAGAGGGTTGAAACCCTGTTGGGTGGGAGTTGAGAGGCTGTTTAAAAATCTCTTACATGGACCTAAGTTTCTTGTTCTGAGGTCAGTAGGCAGGCAATGAAGAAATTTGCCCCGGTGACCTCTAGGAGGTGATGTGGGAGGGGAGTGAGGACTTTTCTTTAATATGCCTGCAACAAAAAGAACAGACAGATTTCCTTCTTCCGAAACCACAGGTGAGATAGTTCAGGTACTGCTTGGGAGAATGATTTGCAGACATCCTAAGATGCCCATAGGTCCTTGAAATAGCAGAATCGTAACCTTATTCTTTGTAAGCCCACAGGGTGTCGTGAATATTTTATAGTTCAACATTTAATTTTTCTTAATGCAAAGTAGCTGCATATAATCTTTTAAGGGCCGTAAAACCTATGATTGATATTTACCAGATTAATTAATATAGAATTCATTATCTGAAAGGGAAGGGAGAGGTGGGACGGAGGCAAATTAACAAGTTAAAAAAGCAAATAAAAAATGTGTAAGTAATTTTTATATAAAAACAGTGAAAGAGAAGAGCCAGAGAAAGAAATAAAAGCAGGCTGACATACACACCACTTGCTACGGCCAGTTTCCCCGCCTTCCCACATCTTGTGAAATGTTTTCGTCTACAAAGACCATGAAAAGCGTTTGTTAAAGTTCCAGAAGAAGAAGCCCTCACCCCCTCCCAACTGCATCAACTTCTAAGGAATACAGAGGTTCTCATCTAGCAACCTGAATACCTGAACCTTTCACCTCCTTGCATCTGGGGTTCCCCCGTTGGGAAACAGAGCAGAGGTTAGTGGCAGCCAACTCTGAGGGTGGGGGGACACCCTGAGCTCCCTCCTCTGGCAACTCCAGTGGGCAGGGAGTGAGCAGTACTCTGGCTGGGAACAGGGGAGCCTGCTTCTCACCAGGGGGCACACAGAGGGCGCCAAAGAGCGCTGTGACCAGGCGAGCAGCTGCAGGTGGCTTGTCCCCAGCCTCTGTCTCCCCATCCACTGTGGCAGGCAGTCATCTTACAGCAATGCCAAATCCTGCGCATTGAGCAGGCGGAGCCCAGAACCTTCCCTCGGCCTCTCTGAGACTGTGTCTGGCGCTTCATAAAGACCCTGTCCTTGCCATGGGCAGCTGGGCCCTCTGCTGTGTGGTCCTTTGTCTCCTGGGAGCAGGCAGGTGAGGACCCAGCAGGTAAATTCCTAAGCTGAGTGTGAAGCCCCCATGCGGGCACCTTCTCACAACAGCGTGGGGGCTGTTACGGGCATTATACATGGCCATTATCCCCATGCTGTCTCTATACCTCCCACCCCCCTACCAGGACGTGCAGGTGCTGAAATGCAGGTGCTGAAATCTACCAGACTCCAGGATTCCTGCTGGGTGGGAGGTGACCCTGGAGCGCAAACAGAATCTGATCTACAACGCCATGTGCCGGCACCCGCAGGACCCCGGGCAAGGGCTGGGGCTCATCTACTTCCCTGAAGCTGAAAAGGACGTCCAGGGGGGATACCTGGCCCAAGGCTACAGCGTCTCTCTCAGAGGAAAAGGGGCTGTTTGCCCTTACGCTGAAGCTGGCCCACACCAGCCACAGCTCCTGGTCCTT